TCCTGTTTGGCCGAATTCAAAGCCGCAAGAAGTCCTTCATTGCGTCCCTCAAGATCCGCAATTCTCTGATTCAATTTGGGACACTGTGTGCATTCAAACTGAAAAATTTCAAAAAAATAATATTAATAAATAATATTAATAATTATTAAATTGTAAAACATATACAAACCCGTTCGCCAATATCGGACCGGACCCGCTTTGTAGCCAATTGTTCGGGAATTGGTTCGCTGACATCCTCGAAATCGTCCATTGGTTGCACAAATGGTTCGTCCAAATCATTCAATTGTCCCAAATCCGGTTCGTAGTCCTCGACTATATCATGAATTTTGGAGACAACCTCTCGTAACACTTTATTATACCGGCTCTGAGTGAGTGATGTCCTGACAGGGGGTCCCAGTTTTCGGACCACTAAATGGGCCATAGACATAGCCAGGTCCTCTTTCTCAACCTTAGTTGGGGAATGCCATGAACCGCTAAATCCAATTGAAATTAGTAAAAATAATTTAAAAAAAAAATAATAATAATTAGTACTAAAATTTAAGACACCAAAAAAAAGAAAATATTCAAAAAAAATAGTTTTTAAGTTAAATATAACTTTAACACTGTTTACATTAAATTAACTAATTTAATTTTTATAAAGAGTGAATAATATATTACAAAAAAAAAAATCACAAAAAAAATTGTTTAAATTTTTGCGACATTATATGTTTGAGACTCGTATTACAGACCAAAGTTTCAATTATCTTATAATTATTACTACAGTTGTTAGTATTTTATAATTGAAGTTAAAATTTATTTAAAAATAATTATTTTAATATTAACTTAAAATATCTTAACAATAATAATAATAACTACAAAAAAAATTATTATAAAATTTGGGACTAAATTTCTATAGATATATATATAATAATGTTTTTTTTCAAAATAGTTATTTACACAAAAAAATGTTTAACTATAACTTTACTAATAATAATTATAAATTTAATTATAACTTTTTGGGACTCGACTTATTTTTGTTGGATTCAAAGTAATAATATATTATCAATAATTTATATAAGTATAAAACAATTAATTAAATAGTTAATAATAATAATTATTATTGTTTAGTTTGATAACACTAACCATGATTTAATACATATATAATAATAATATTTTGATATAAAAATATTTTAATTAATATTAATAATAATAACCACAAAAAAAATAATATTATTACCAATTTGTTTGGGACTCAATTACTTTTTGAGACTCAAAACATTTTTATTACTATATTATTAATAATTTTGTTTTTAGTTTAGATTTAATTTAATAATAATAATTCATTTAGCATTAATAATAAATTAATTAATATTAATAATAATAACTTTTAGTATTTATTCAAAATAATATAATAATAATAATTTAATTTAATTGTATTTTAATTTTTAATAACAAACAAATCTATAATAATATACTGTATTTTTGAGACATAAATGTTTTATTTGGTCTCAAAATAAATTTTTAAAAAGGTTACTAAACTATTAATAATTTTTATATTTATATTAATTATATAATTTAATAGTAATAATAATGATAATTATTATTATTTATTTATTGAATAGTATTATTAATAATAATTAATTTAAGTAATAATAATAATAATAATGATATCAAACAAACCTAATGTTTTCAATTACTGGCGTATCGTTGGCCGCACTTTCGGCACCCGTAGTGACCACACGATTAGCCGCCGTAGTGTTGATACCAATGGTGTGGTCAACGATGTTAGTGTTGTGAGCATCGGCGTTGTCGCTAATTTGGTCACTATTTTGGTCACTATTTTGGTCACTATTTTGGTCATCGTTGTTGTCCTCATTGTGGTCAACATTATCACTGTTTTTGTCACTATTGTTACTATTGTGGACATCGTTATCATCAGCACTGGTGTGGCCGTCGGTACTGACTCTTAGCATCGGTATATCATCGGTGTCGACACCACCACTTGTGTTGGCCGACAAATCTATGGCCAAATCACCGCCGATACTGTCATCACTGCTGGACTATAATAATAATAATAATGTTAATTAAGTTAATGATAATAATAATTATAACAATAACATACCTCTACTATGGGATCCATTGTCGTCGATAATAATGTTGTCAATAATGGTCAGTCAGTCAGTCAATTGGTAATCAATCAATCAATCAAACAATCAATCAATCAATCAGTCAATCAAAAAAAAAGTATTCAAATCAACAACAAAGTGATTAATTAATCAATCAATTAGTTAGTGATTCAAAACTACAAACAAAAAAAAATAACAATTGATTCAATCGTCTGCCGAATACAACACTCAAAACTTATGAAATGCAATACATATGTAAATCATATGTAAAACAATAAGTCTATGCAATACAGTGTTGACTATAAAAGGCAAAAATATGAACCCTTAATAACTTTTTGTAAAGTTTTATACAGTATAAGCTACATATATGATACAAGTTATTATTATGTTTTAATATATTTAAAAAAATAATATTTATCACGCTATTTTAATTTCAATAATATACAACAAATACATTATAATATTTTTTATTTACATTTATTGATTTTATACTTATAATTTCATATTTATTAATTTTATAATTTTGTATAATCTATTTAATGGGTCAATAGTAGCGCTTGTATTGTAATAACAAGTGATTGCATTGATGTAAAGGTAATTCAAAATTAGGTTAGCTTTCAATCTCATAGTTATTATTAGTGTCCTAAAAATTGGGACTAATTTAAAAATTTTGAGCCTATCCTTACATTGATGTAATCTGGGACCGCTTCAGCTACTGTTGTCAATAGGTTTCCTCCCGGTCCTCGGGTTTCCCCTATTATTTTAAGGCGGTAACTATTCTATTGATAATTGTACTAATGTAATTCATATTATTTTATTATATAATTATTTAAATTTATATTTTTGTAAAACTGGGGGCTTTTATTAAGGTGTGGTGGGGTACAGTATAATGACTACTTTGTGTGTATTATTGCATGCTATTGGCTGTTGAGTACGGCCCACATGTAGTATATACTGCTACCCCTTCAGCCTATATAAAGGCCAACAGTTCCCAACTCTGGACCTCTCGCTGAGATCTCTCTCGATTATAGAGTCCGAGATTTTGTATTAGTTTTTAGTTGAGTTTCAGACTCTGTTCCCTTATTTTAATGTATTATTAGTTTATGTTATATCAGTTCAATAAAACTATTATATAATCACATTAAATAGTGAATTAACTTTAATTTTGTGTCAACAAATTCAACACTACAACCATACGTGTGCTAGCGGTAGGGTAGCGCCCGAGCCCTGAAAGGTGTAGTTTCGGCCCAAGTGGTGCCCGAAAACCATCCGGTCATTGGCGGTCGTCCCGCGAGTAGCTCTTCGCTAATGATTGGTTGGGCAGCCCGGACGGACTCAAAAGTCGCTCATCCGAGTCGATTCACGCGCGCGTATTATATTGTAATATAATAATTAATTAATTATTATTGCAAACAAAAATTCTAGTTAAATCTTAGTTAGTTATAAATCTAATTATTAATAATAATAATAATATAAAAAATAAAATTATTTATCAATTAAACATTGTTAGGAATTTATTTATTTGTTTGTTTTGTTTATTTGATTAATTATCAGGGTTAAACAAAAAAAATAACAAAAAATATTTCCTATTAATTATTTATGGAAATTTTTATATTTCAAGTTTTTTAGGTTAAAAAAAATAAAACAAACAAAAATTATTAATATATTATTTTTACAATTATTTTTTTGTTTAATTGTTATCATCTATTTTTAAAATTAATAATAATAATAATTAGGAAATTAGTCGATGATGATAAAAATTTAATATATATTATTATTATTATATTATATTTGTAATCTAAACTTAAATGAACTTGATAATACAGCAAAAAATAAATAAATCACATGTCATAATCATGATTTTATTTCCTATTAGATGTATTAAAAAAAATAATTAAAACAAATGTGCCAGGTATCAATAGCACATGTTTGATTAATTTTAAAAAAATAAATTAAATGATGTTGATTATCTTATTATTTTTTATTTTTTTTAATATTTTTCATAATAGATACAGTATAACAAAAATAGGTACAATTAATCTTTACAGTTTTTATTAGTGTGTTAATTATATTTATTTAATAGTTTAATAAGTAAAATATTACTTTAAAAATATTATTTATTTTTCTAAAATTGTAATATAGTATATAAAAGTAATAAATTAAATTTATATTTTTTTAAATTTGATTCTAGATTTAATAAAAATAAAATAAATTTAAGATTTAAATATTTTATATTATATGATAATTATTACAAAATACTGATACTATAGTATTTATAAATTATAAGTTATGATTATTACTATATATAAAGTTATCAAGTTTATAGTAAACATCACATAATTAATAGTAATTATTATTTTTTGTTGTTGAAATATTATCAATACTTTCAATTGTAAATATTAAATATTATTTATATAAAAAAACAAAATAATTATTGTGGAAATTTTTTTTATCGATGACATAAATATATATATAAATATTTTTTTATTTTTATAAACAAATTAAATTTTTGTCATTTAACATAAAGTAAATATGAATAAAAGTTTTATTTTATTTTTTTATTTTTTGTTAAAATAATGTAAAATTTAAATTTGTTTTTAGTTTTATGTTTCTACTATTAATGGCAAATAAAAAAATTATTATTATTTTAAATAAAAGTTTCACATATAAATCATTACAATTACAATAATAATATATATATTAAATTACAATAAATCATTTTTATTATTTAAATGAAAAATTTATATTATAATATCATATTGAAATATTATAAATATTATTATTATTACATATACATATAATTAGACAATAAAAAATCTATATATAAATTAAAATTATTAAAATATTAAATTATATATATATTTTTTATTTAATAAATTATTTTATTTTAATTTTTTTAATATGATAGCTATGTTAACATTGATTATCTTAGCTATTGTATTAGTTAACATTGGTAATATAATATAAATTATATATTATATATTATTTAATTGATTTAATTTTATCTATTTTGAATTTAATATATATATATATATATATATATATATATATATATACAGTTAGCCCGGTGCCACTTATCATCAAACGCCAGGTACCACCACCCTATCAGCTACCGATAGTACTACTAGATGGCCATCAACCACACCAACACCAACAGCATCGGCAACTAATACCCAGTCTAGTTGGCCAACAAAACCAGCACCGTATCATCTACAATGTCCAGCACCCGCAGCTAATTGCTCCAGTAGCTGCACCGGTAGCTGCACCGGTAGCTGAACCGGTAGCTGCACCTGTAGTAGATGATCAACAACATGATGATAATGTCAAATTACGTACCGGTATTAGACTAATGGAAAATGAGATACAACTGCTCCAGGATATGGCCGATAAACGCCAGTTCCTCGGAGGAGGAGGAGGAGTGGGAGTGGATGGTCATCAACAACAAATCATCAATAAGGAACAGGAGGCCCGGTTTCTGAGTTTGTTGCAAAAATTTTTGAAAACAGTTGGCATAATGTTTAAGACAGCATTTGGCTAACCTAACCAACCAACTAACTAACTGTTCCCATAGTAGAGTAAATTTTTAATAATAATGATTATTATTATTATTTAATTATATTGTATTGTTTTTTTTTTTGAAAACAATATCTACATTATTATCAATATATATGTTTTATTGATTATTATTATTATTATTTATTATTATTTAATTAATTAATATAATTGTCAAGTCTCTCTCTCTTTATATATATATATATATGTATATATCATAAAAATATTTAAAATATTTTTAGTTTTAAGACATTTGTGTTTTGCTATTATAATAAAATTTGCATTAAAAAATTAATTTGTTATCTTAAAAAAAATAATTGATAATTTATTATTATTATGTTTATCACAAAATAAAATAATTACTAATTTTATTGTTAATTATTTAAGTTTTTTATTTAAAAAAAATCAATTTTATTTATTATCAAAAAGCAAGCATGTGTTATTATTATTTTTTTTTATTATTTTATTTTTATGTATATTTTATTAAATTGAATAACTTGTAAGTAATTTTCCATATAAAACATTAATATAAAATTTCAGAAAAAAAAACTAAAATGTAATACAACTAATTCAATACAAATACTTATAATTAGTTTTTAAGTTTTACTAATTATATCAATAAACATTTATTTGTTATTTGTGTGTATATTTGTATATTTATTTTTGTATATATATATATATATATATATATATATATATATATGTATGTATATGTACTGTATGTATGTATATGTATATTTATGTGTGTGTGTATATGTATGTTTGTATGTGTGTATGTATATTTATGTGTGTGTATATGTATGTTTGTATGTGTGTATGTATATTTATGTGTATATGTATGTATTTTTGAGTATACTATATATATATGTATGTATATATATGTATGTTTGTGTGTAGGTTTATGTTTTGAGTTTAAGTTTATGTCAATATATCATTAAATTTTTAAAAACATTTTTTTTTTATTAATAAAATACCGGTATATCGTTTTACAATATGTTATATTTTGAAAATATTTATATTACAGGTATATATTGTATATAATAACTTTTACAATTATTTGCATATATATATTTATATACCATATATATATATATATATAGCATAATATATAATAATTATATAAACATTTATCATTATATACTTTACATTTTATAGAGAGAGAAAAAAAACTATTTAAACTAATAGTTAATATTAAATTTAGTTTTTGTGATTATAATTATTATAACGAAACAAACAAAAAAATACAAAATGATTATGATAATGTTATTTCAATTAATTATTTTATCAACTATATTATTTAGTAGTAATGGTAATATAATTTTTTTTATAATAATAATATATATTAATATATAAATTGAAATATTTTAATATTAATAAATAACTATTTTTGGTTATATAATAATAAAATTAATTTAATTATTTACATATATATATATATATATATATATATATATATATATATATATATATATAGTTAACTCGGCTTCAATTATTGTTGAAAATGTTGAGTCGCACCGGCATCATCTTGACGATGACATTGGCCAAGTAGTAGGAGGTGGTGGTGGAGGAGTAGCACCTGTAGCAGCAGCAGCAGCAGCACCGGTAGCTGATCACAGTGTCCTGGCTGATGATAATATTAAGTTACGATCGGCCTCGGGTAAACATGGTATCGACAACAACAACAAAAAGCAATTGCTAATGTTTGAGGGTACGGGTGGTAAACGCCAGTTCCCTGATGGACATAATAAGGAACAGGAGGCCCGGTTTATAAGTTTGTTGAAAAAATATTTCATGACAGTTGGCCTAATGTTTAAGACTGTATTTGGATAAATTGTTTTATATATATATATATATATATATATGCCTAAAATGTTTATATATATATTAAATATTAATAATAATTATTAATTTGATTTACTAATAATAAAATACTATTATTATTATAATAATTGTAATCAAATTTTTGTTGTAATTTTTTTTGATTGATTATTTTATTACTAATGTAATTAAAATGTTTTTTTTAAATATTATTTAGTGAATTTATTTATATAAATTTTTTTTTCATAAGTAAATGATTTTTATTTTTAATAAAATTAAAAATGTATTTATGATTTAATAAATTTATTTTTATTTTATACAAATAAATATTCAATAATTTTTTAAAAATCGTTTCATTTCAATAACAATAAAAATACAATGCTTATTATTATAAAATTTTAAGTTAAAATATCAACAATATATTTTTAAAAAATATATAATGTTTCTATGTAAATTCTCAAATAAAATAGTTATGAATTAAAATGAAACAAAATTTATTATAATATAATTATTTGACTCAAAATATATACATTTATTATATGATAATTTGCATTTTTTTTTATAAACTTTTAAATTTAAATAAAATAATTGTTTATATAAATTGCTATTAATATTGATATATATACCTTATTTATATAAAGTTCAACTAACATATTTATTTATTATATTAATAAAAATAGAAATATTTAATGGTATTAATTATTAGTTTTGATTTATTAGTTTAAAAGATCAAAGATTTTTTTTTGTTGTATTAATAGAAATAATAAACTATTAATAAATTAAAAAAAAAACAATTACTAGTAATTATTATTATTATTGTATTAATTTATTATAGTATATTCAACTAATATAGTATTTTTATATGATATTAAATAGCAAAAAAAAATAATTAAATAAATAATTATTGTTATAAAAATAATAACTCATAAATAATATCATTAACTAATTAATAATTATTCAATAATAACAATGATTGACTACAAAATTTTTTTATTATTATTATTAATTTTGAAATAAATATTATAAAAATAATTTTTTAATTATTTTATTAAAATAAAAACAAATAAACAATTTTCAATTACAATTTAGTATTATTATTAAAATTATCATTTAAATTAGTATCAGTTATAGTAGTAGTAGTAGTATTAATACTAGTAGTGATACTATTATTATTATTAGCAAGGTGATTAAATTTATATTTCAAAATAGTAACAAGCATAATTAATAAAAATATTGACCCTGATAAGGCTAGCATTATATAGATAAATAATAGGGGATTAGATACAAGATTTTTGCCAATTATAAAATTAGTTAAAAGTGATCCAACATTGGATGCTATCAGTATTAGACTGCCAACCAAATCGGTAACGGGTGTTATTGATTCCCATAGATTGTATATATTAGGACTAGTGGGACCAATGCTCAGTCCATAGAGTACAGTACCCGACCATAGATAACCGGGTAGATTGTTAGACCATATAACTATTGAACCGCCAATGGCCAGTAGTTGCAATATTAGCAATATATACTGGGCTGGCAGATAACGGGCGACCAGTACGCCCAACAATAGACTGCCAACTTGACATATATTGTAGACGGTTATCATGAATGCAGCCAGGTGCTGGTCAACCGATTGGCCATATATGTGGGCATAGGTTGGATAGTATGTTAGAAAACTATTGACAACTAGTCCAGCAAATAGAAATGCTAGTAACAGTGCCAGATTGATGACCAGGTTCAATTTTGTTGGTATTAATTCTAGTTTTAATTGCTTAAAAAATTTATTTAGCTTGCTTGTTAACTTGTTGTTGTTGTTGTTATTAATATGATTACTAATATTAGTTTTATCATTATCATGATTATTATTACTAGTTTGTATAGCAGGTAATTTTCTACCTTGATAGGGTTTAATTAGAAATACTATGAAAATAATTAAACCAGCCAGTACACTTGCTGATCCAAATATTATAAATGGTATATGTGTTTTCAAATGAACTTGATCAATTGTTTGATTATTATTATTATTATTATTATTATTATTATTATTATTATTATTATTATTATTATTATTATTATTATTATTATTATTATTACTAGTAGTAGTCCAGTCGATATTTGATAGAAATGGTTGTACTATTAGTGGGGATACTACTGATGACATACCGATAAATACTTGCAATGCCATCAAATAAGGTGCACAGTTAGCTTCCCATATGTCGATTACCCATAGATTGGCTACGGATAACTGGCCACTATTGAATATATTGTAAACTGATAGATCAATAGCAAAATAGGTCAACGACGGCAAACTGGCCAACAGTGCTACGGTTATGCCTCTTAGTATTAACAATAAGCTAAATATTAATTGTTTATTTATATATCTGGATGCTAAGGTACCTAGGGTATTAATAATAATAATAATTAAAATTAATTAATTAAATAATAATAATTAAAATTAATTAATTAAATAATAATAATTAAAATTAATTAATTAAATAATAATAATTAAAATTAATTAATTAAATAATAATAATTAAAATTAATTAATTAAATAATAATAATTAAAATTAAATAATTAAATAATAATAATTAAAATTAATTAATTAAATAATAATATTATTAGTAGTAGTAGTTTTAGAGATAGAAATAATTGAACTAAATTATTATAAAATTTATGATAAAAAAATAAATTAATAAAATAATACATTAGACTAACAAATAAAACCCAACAGTGCAATACTGGTACAAATTGATAGGACATCGGATATGCCGGATATATCGGTGCCGTATATGTGGGCCAAATCGGTTAGTAGTAAACTGATGAAACTATCGGCAATTTGCTAACAACAACAACACCAACAAAAATAAGTGATTATTACTTTAAAAAATTTAATTGAAATAATAAATATTAATAATAACTTTTTTAAATTAGTTTGTTATTTAATTAAAAATAAAAAATCTAATTACTATTAAAAACATTCCCAAATAAATCATTGATATTAAAATTAATTTAAATTTTGTTGAATGTCTTGGTTGTTGTTGATCCATATTTTATTTTTATTTTTTTTATTATTTTTTTTGCTTGGTGAATTATGTAATAATATAATATTAATAATATTCGGATTTTTATTATATTTATAATAGTTATAATAACCAAACAAAATAAATAATAAAATTTATATCTAAATAACAAAATTGTAAAAACAAATTATTTTTTATTAATTTCAC